CCCCGAGAGCCCCTCTTCCCTCTCAATCCGGGGACTGTCTCCTGGCCGTGGCCGAGGAGGGAACAAAGCAGAGGAAGGGAAGAGCCAGCTGGGACGGAGCACCGACGTGGGCACCGGAGATGCCCACAGCTGGCTCCCACCTCTCCGCAGCCGCCCGGAGCACGGCCGCTTCCTGCCCGCCGCCCAGAATAGCCTGCACATCCTCTGAGCCGCCGGCCCAGACCTCAGCCCGCCGCTGCCCTGCCTTCCCTGACCTCTGCCCGTGGACAGACTTCTCCCCGGGACACTGAGCACGCCCCACGCTGCGCCGACCAGCCTTCCAAAAACCCGTCACAACAGAGCAGAGAGCCCCTGCAGGCCTCGGATGGGGGGTGGGGGGCAGGGCTTGGCAGGTATGGGGGCCCTGGCATCCCGTCTGCCCCACAGCCACCTCTCACGACATGTTGCAGGACGTCAAAGCCTGAAATTCTCTGTCTCGTGAATCAGCAGATAAAAACCATTAGATGTCTGCTGTTCCCTAATCTGTGCCGTGTGCCACACTCCTTCCTCATCACGCAGACCGGCTCTTTCCCCAGGGGCCCCCGTGACAGGGCGGGTGTTGCAGTGATCTGGAAGCTTCGATTTCACCCTGAGCAACACCTCCTCCGGGAAGCCTTCCTGGACTGTTCAGGCAAGTGCCTCACACAAACCACACGCAAGTGCCCGGTGATGCACACCTGCCTGCTCAGCTGCAGCGTTGTTTCTCTGCTTGGTGTGATCCTGTGACTGAGATGCTCCCCTCCCAGCGCCCACGGGGGCAGGGACAGGGTCTGCGGGCCCGGCCCAATCCCCACGTCCTGGGGCACGCTGGTGCGGAGGCGGCATGAATTAAACATTCCAGCCCGGTGAGCCAGAAGAAAAGCAGCGCTAATCTGACAGCTCCTGCCTGTCCCTCCTGTCCAGTGCGCTGCTGTCACAGAAGCCAGGGCGGTCACCGAGGTCATCACAGGTTGGGGGGACAGCGGGGGATGGGGCAGGGGCAGAACTCAGAAGGGCTGTGTCCCCCACAGCTTCTGGGACTCCCCGGGGTCCCAGCTTGGAGCCAGGTGGGAACCCCAATCCCTGGGTCTCACCACCCCCGCCAGCCCCCCTGGACGCTCAATCAGGATCCACAAGCTTTCGGGGAGGACGTGGCGTTAGGGCAGCTTCGGGGCCCCCGAAGGCCGGTCTGAGACCCTTTAGGACCCCCAAATGCTTTGCCCTGTTTTTCTGCACCCACTCACCTTGCTGTCAGGACACCTGCCCTCCTGGGCTCCCCCTTCCTCACCGTCACCTGAGGTGCCATCTGGCCCCTGCTCCCCTATCACCTATCCAGACCCAGGAGCCCAGCCAGGCCCTCCCCTGAGCTCCCACCAGCTCCCTGACCTCCTACCCGGCTGCCCGGCAAAGCCCTGCAACAGGACACATCCCACACGGGGCTCCGCGTCCCCGCCTGACCCCAGCGCCTTCCCCGACTCAGAAACAGACCCCACGTGCCCAGGTGCCGAGGCAAACCTTCGGGTCCTGCCCCCACTGCCCCCTCTCCCGGAAAACACCCCTAGCTTCGGTGGTAGACCCTTCCCTTCTCGCTCTCATCCCAATCTGAGCCAAGTGGCCCCCAGCCCTTCCCAGCGTCAGCCTTCTGGTCTCCCTGCCCCCGCTGCTCCCAGAGGCCAGAGGGCCGGTGAGCAGGCCGGACGGCTAAGGAAGGGCCCTGGACGGCCACCGGAAAGAGGTGACCTTAGATCGCACACGCTAACTCCACGTGGACACGGCGTGGCATGCAGGGGACGAAGCCCCCATCTTCTAGAAGAATACATGGTGAACCGCTCTCGCACGCGGCGTGGGGAAACGGCTCTCCACCGTGACTCACGAACCAGCGGCAACGGAACGCAGGACCGGCGGGCCTGAAGCTTTCTTCCTGACCGAAAGCACCAGAAACAAAGGCAGAAGACAAATGGCCAACTGAGAGAAGAAATCCCCAACACGGGCCACAAAGGACTAATGTTCCCCGAATATAAAGGACTTAAAAATTAAGAGACTGGGGCGCCTGGGAGGCTCAGCCAGTTGAGTGTCCGACTTTTGGTTTCAGCTCAGGTCACGGTTCGTGGGTTCGAGGCCCCATCGGATTCTATGCCAACAGTGCTCAGAGCCTGCTTGGGAGGCTCTCTCTGCCCCTCTCCCACTCATGCTCACTCGCTCACTCTCAAAATAAATAAATAAGCTTAAAAAAAAAATTAAGAGACCAAGGACCAAAAACTCAATAGAAAAAATTTGAAAAAGACACGAATCCAAGAATACACACTCACGTGACCTCCAAGCATATGAAAAATGTCCAAAAGCATAATTATAATCGTAGAAACGCAGATGAAAACAAAGCCATCAGAGGCACCTGGGTGGCTCAGTCGGTTGAGCATCTGACTCTTGACTCTGGTTCAGGTCACGATCACATGGTTCACGGATTTGAGCCCCGCGTCGGGCTCTGCACTAAATGTGGAATTTGCTTTGGTTGGTCTCTCTCTCTCTCTCTCTCTCTCTCTCTCTCTCTGCCCCTACCCTGCTCATGCTCTCTCTATCTAAAAAATAAAAAAAATAACAAATTAAAAGAATCGTTAAAAAACCACAAAGCTATCAGGCTGGCCAGAAACAAGAGCGTGAAAACACCCCATGAGTAAGCTGGCACTCTCGTCTCGTCTGCGGCTGGGGGTGCACGGGGCCCAGGCTCTCCGCAGGGACACTTGGTCGTCGTGCCTCACAACAGGACCTGCTTCTTCCACCCCCCAGCACCCTGCTTCCAGGCATCTCCCCGAAAACACACCTCCGACAATGCAAAAATACGAGCTTACGAGGTTATTCACCGCAACGGCGTCCGCAGTCGCCAAATATCGGAAACGACCTAAACGCCCGTAGAGGAGCCGCGGGCGCGTCGCACAGCGAGGTCCCAGGCAGCCGTGACAGACAACGCGGAAGGCGTGGATGAGCGGAGACAGGGTGATTTCCAGGATACACGGTCACAAACGAGTGTCCACGGTCTTTCCAACAAAGGGTGCAGGGAAAACTGGACGTTCACACACAGAAGAATGAAGCTAGGCCCTAACCTTGCACCAGACGCTAAAATCAACTCAGGATGAACTTAGGCCCGTACGTAGGACCGCGTGAAAATGAAAAATTTCTGTGCAGCCAAAGACATCATCAGTAAAGTGGAAAGGCACCTCCTAGACCGGGAGAGGGTACACGTAAATAAATCCTAGAGCTCCTCAAGTCAACGCCGCCATCACCTAATTTAAAGTTGCCACGATCCAACTCTGCGCTGCCCGCAACAGACGCACTTCGGCCGTGAGGACACACGTAGACTGAAGGTGCAGGATGGAGAGGTAAAGCCCGTGCAAACGGAAGCCACGAGAGGGCAGGGGCAGCCGGACTCACATCGGGCAGGATAGGCTTCAAGCCCAAGGCTGCATTAAGCTATAAAGAAGGCCATCAAAGGGCCAACTCACAAGAGAACGTAACTCTGGCAGATATTTACGCACCCCACACAGAAGCACCTAGATACATTAGGCAAACGCAAACAGATCCGAAAGGAGACGGATGCGTATGCTATGCAATCACAGCCCAGAACTCAATCCCCCACTCGTAACAGTGGGCAAATCGTCCCGATAGACAGTCAGTGAGGAAACACTGGACGCAAACCACACGGGAGCCCAGGCGGACCTACAGGCACACACACGACGTCCCCACCAGCAGCAGCGGGACACGTGTGCACTCTTCTCGAGCGCACGGGGGACACGCTCCAGGACGGGTCGCATGCTGGGCCACCAAACAAGTCTTCCTAAGCGCGAGAAGGCTGAAATCATACCACACATCTTTTCTGACCACAGTGGTACGAAATTAGAAATCCGTTACAGGAAGAACACTGGGAAATTCACATGTGTGCGTGTTGATTAAACCACACGCTCTTGGACAACCGTGGACCAAGAAGCAATCAGGGCGGGAATTAAAACAAAAGGCCTTGAGACCGGTGAAAATGGAGACCCGGGGCACCTGGGTGGCTCGGATGAGCGTCCGACTTCGGCTCAGGTCACGATCTCGCGGTCCATGAGTTCGAGCCCCGCGTCGGGCTCTGTGCTGACAGCTCAGAGCCTGGAGCCTGTTTCAGATTCTGTGTCTCCCTCTCTCTGACCCTCCCCCCGTTCATGCTCTGTCTCTGTCTCAA